TGCCATTTCCTGTCTGAAGAAAAAAAATCTTACAAAGGTAAACGGGACCAGGGAAGAGAGAAGCATGAGACGGCGAAAGTGTTCTAAAAACAGCCTTGTCAAATCTGTCCCCTGCAACACCCAGCATTCCCCACCATAGTAAGGGACAGTAGAGTTTCTCGCTTTCTGCCAGTGCTGTTTTATCATCTATTACTATCTTGCAGAACAGCCCAGCAGTTGAGATAATAACTGTGGCTGCATGCTGTGCCTTGAGCACCAGGTAGTAAAAGACTCGACATTTACAGTCTCTGTTCTGACAAAGTCGACGTCTTTTCCTGTAAAAAAGACGATCGGAGAGGGAAGAAATCTGCAACTTTGTGTTTGTTTGTCTTCAGGATTCTCCATCCCTGTGTGTTGTCTTCGAATACAGGAACTTCACTGTACTTCAATGCATTCATGCGTTGCTAGAAAGTGAATGTAACTGTTTGCCATAATGACCTCCCTTCCACTCAAGAGCACCTCTTTTGTAGGAGCTAATTTTATTACCCATTCTCCATTAAGGCCCTTTGTTTGCTAATTTATCTGTCGAGAGTTTTACAATCTGTTGCTCCCGGTGTTTGTGTTCGTATCACAAAGCCCTGTGGCAAACGGAACCATTTCTCAATGAGACTCAGTGCGACACTGTAAACACAAATGTCACAGGGGTGTAATTAAGCAGATGAGGAGCCACAATAAAACATCTTACAATACCTCACAGATCACCCACTGAGATCTGCTGCTCCAAATGTTTCTTTATCTCCTCGTCACGGCGACACTCACCTACATTCAGTACATTTTTTTCCACCTCCTAAAACTAACGTCGCATCCAGTCGTCGCTCTCTGTAATTATATTAATCATAGTGTTATCTGCAAACGGCCTCAGTCAAAGCCTCTTATCTAACCTTTTTTTTTTCTACATTTTATGACATTGTTGTAAAGTTCTTTGCCCTTCTGAAGGACTGTGTGACTGTTTTGTCTTTTCCTCTTTGATCTAAACCGCTTGTTTTTTATCTTGCTTTTCTTTTACAGAGACTCTGATGGACACAAAGTGGGCCACCACAGAATTAGCCTGGACTTCACACCCAGAGACCGGGGTGAGTTTATCAGACACCATGTTGCGGTCGTGTCGGCTACACACTTCACACCTTTGTTGCAATTAATTTATTCAACATTTTTAAAACAGTGTATGAACTATAGCTGGCCGACCAGTGAATGAGTGCAGCTCTGCAGCTGCACATGCCTGAAACTCTTCGTCAACAAATCACTAAACAGGATCTTCTATAGGGTTAAACAGGATGTGCTTTTTAGCCAATCCAAAAAGATACATCCCAATCCAACTTTAACGACCCTCTCGGCCACAGATGTTCCTCTCCTCTCGCCTCATTTCACTTGTGAACACGTGAAAAGCACCGGTTTCCTCATGAAGTAACCTTTTAAAACCAGAAATATTTCCTGTTGACCCGCTGTACATCCAGACGTCCAGATCTAACCCACACAAAGAGCCAGTGACAGCCTCATCTTCTTTCCCATGTGGTCGCCACAATGGCCTAAAGAGGAGCTAAAAGAATCTTGACCCCTCCTTAGCCGCACTTCAAAGAGCGCCAGCACTCCTCCCTTAGCTTTTGTGTGGTCTTCTGACTTGTCCTTTTTGTTTTGAAAGGTGGGCCCCTATTTTTTTATATTTTGTTTTTACCCTGATGCTGTTGCAGTGGTGAATCCACCCCAGCTGTTCAGACTCACCCTCCCTGGCCGTTCTGCTGTTCCTTTACTTCCAAGTAACTAAGCACTAATGAAGGCAGGCACTTTGGCCCAATCAGCTGCAGCAGTCACAGGGACAAACCCCCTGACAGTCTGTTATTCCCCCTTTCAACTCTTTTTATTCCCTCCTCCTATCTGTTCATCTTCCCACTGCCCCCCCACCCCCTCCCCTGGTTCCATGTAGAGTGGCACAGAAACAAACGCCTTCTTATTTCTTTTCCAACTAAACCAACAACAGATGCTCCTTTAAAACCATGCACATACGCTGTCTTTTGCACTCCAGCTTTTCACAATACCAATTCAAATAAAAAGAAAAAAATCTTTTTTATTTCTTCTCTGATTCCTTTTTTTGTTGTTTTGTAGCAGGCTGTACCACAGGCAGCATGTGTTGATTTCCTTTTGTCTGTCTTTGTGCACAGTTTATTGAAAGTGGATTTTGATGTTCCCTTTGGTCAGAAATCTGTTTCGTTTTTTTGAACCGGGGAGAATAACAACTAAATACAGAGATGGTGGAAAGAATGGTGGGATGGAGACGAGATTGACCTGGTCACGTAAGGGAAACATTTAGGGAAAATAAAAAAAGTAAAACATATTTGGGCCAGTAAACTTTCAACCAATTTGTGAAACTATTCTGATTTAAATGGCACATTTTAGTGCACATTTAGGGCAGAATATCCTGCACTGCATATCCAATAATTCTACTGTTCATTCGCTTACTGTTGCTGCAAAACACATGTAATTTGCACATATTGTGGGAAAAAAAATAGTTGTTTTGTTGCAGTGGAGATTATTATTAAGATTAATATCATCAATGACAGTAACCTTAGCTTTTTGTACCCATATTTAAAAATCTAGAAGTTTAGAAATTATTTTGATTAATCATGATTAATCTGCAGCTCCTATGTGATTAATCAGATTAAAAAAAAATTCAACCAACTGGCAGCCAGAGAAGATATGAACATACTGTAACCTATTCTAAATGAATAATTTTCCCTGTTAACACCATCACAGTGTGAATAGGCACGAGACACACAAAAGGTACACATGTACCTATAGCTATAAAATCGCTAACCTCTAAAGAGCTTTTTGTACCTGCAGGTTGTCTTCAAGCATTTACTTGTGTTTTTTACTGTCTTCACCTTTGTCTGCACCCACGTATGCACGTTACTCACTCTTACCGTCTGGAGCGCCTGTAGCATTTCTCTTTCACTCCTGGCTGTTTTTAACAGTGTACGTGTGCGAGCTGACATCTGTTTCAAGCTAGGTTTGTGCTGCTGCCGTGTAGTTGGGTTCTTAATGCCATATTGTATGTCGTACAAAACAGATTGAATATTAAAGGGGGGGAATTCCACAGTGTAGCATGGCTCCACTTGGACCGCCACAGGGTTTTCTGTAACCATGTATTGATAACAGTGTATCAGATCAACTGCGTTGTGCAGGAAATAACCGTTGTTGGTGTTTCCACCTGCTTCACAGAAACACAGGGTGAAAAAAAACTAAGCAACTTCTACCAGTGACACCTGGACAAAAGTATTTTCTTAACATTACTCTTTGAAGATAAACTTTTTTCCCCCAGTTCCATTTATGCATGGATTCCTGCAATTTACCTAAAATAAGAGACAAAAAAGTTTTACTTCTTATTGCTTTTACTTTACAAATGCCACATAATAGCAGCAGGAA